AGATACAGTGCCTTGCGAAAGTATTTGCCCCCCTTGAACCTTTCAACATTTCGCCACATTTCAGGGTTCAAACATAAAGATATAACATTTTAATTTTTTTACAACAAGTGGGACACAATCGTGAAGTGGAACGAAATTTATTGGATAATGAATAATAATTTTTTTACAAATAAAAAACTGAAAAGTGGGGCGTGCAATATTATTCGGCCCCTTTACTTTCAGTGCAGCAAACTCAGTCCAGAAGTTCAGTGAGGATCTTTGAATGATCCAATGTTGTCCTAAATGACTGATGATGATAAATAGAATGCACCTGTGTGTAATCAAGTCTCCGTATAAATGCACCTGCTCTTTGATAGTCTCAGGGTTCTGTTTAAAGCACAGAGAGAACCATGAAGACAAAGGAACACACCAGGCAGGTCCGAGATACTGTTGTGGAGAAGTTTAAAGCCGGATTTGGATACAAAAAGATTTCCCAAGCTTTAAACATCTCAAGGAGCACTGTGCAAGCAATTATATTGAAATGGAAGGAGTATCAGACCACTGCAAATCTACCAAGACCCGGCCGTCCCTCCAAACTTTCATCTCAAACAAGGAGAAGACTGATCAGAGATGCAGCCAAGAGGCCCATGATCACTCTGGATGAACTGCAGATAACTACAGCTGACGTGGGAGAGTCTGTCCATAGGACAACAATCAGTCGTGCACTGCACAAATCTGGCCTTTATGGAAGAGTGGCAAGAAGAAAGCCATTTCTCAAAGATATCCATAAAAGTCTTGTTTAAAGTTTGCCACAAGCCACCTGGGAGACACACCAAACATGTGGAAGAAGGTGCTCTGGTCAGATGAAACCAAAATGGAACTTTTTGGCCACAATGCAAAACGATATGTTTGGCGTAAAAGCAACACAGCTCATCACCCTGAACACACCATCCCCACTGTCAAACATGGTGGTGGCAGCATCATGCTTTGGGCCTGCTTTTCTTCAGCAGGGACAGGGAAGATGGCTAAAATTGATGGGAAGATGGCTGGAGCCAAATACAGGACCATTCTGGAAGAAAACCTGTTGGAGTCTGCAAAAGACCTGAGACTGGGACGGAGATTTATCTTCCAACAGGACAATGATCCAAAACATAAAGCCAAATCTACAATGGAATGGTTCACAAATAGACGTATCCAGGTGTTAGAATGGCCAAGTCAAAGTCCAGACCTGAATCCAATCGAGAATCTGTGGAAAGAGCTGAAGACTGCTGTTCACAAACGCTCTCCATCCAACCTCACTGAGCTCCAGCTGTTTTGCAAGGAAGAATGGGCAAGAATTCCAGTCTCTCGATGTGCAAAACCGATAGAGACATACCCCAAGCGACTTGCAGCTGTAATTGCAGCAAAAGGTGGCGCTACAAAGTATTAGCGCAAGGGGGCCGAATAATATTGCACGCCCCACTTTAAAGTTTTTTATTTGTTAAAAAAGTTTAAATTATCCAATAAATTTCGTTCCACTTCACGATTGTGTCCCACTTGTTGTTGATTCTTGACAAAAAACTAATTTTTTTATATCTTTATGTTTGAAGCCTGAAATGTTGAAAGGTTCAAGGGGGCCGAATACTTTCGCAAGGCACTGTATATTCATGAACAGTGGCACATTATTTGGGTTTGTTCGGCCTTTTGACTTGGGCTTGTGAAGAGGACTTTGTGGATAAACATTTAAAAAAGGTTTAGAGCAGAGAAACACAGCCGCTGTATCCTAAACGCCTTCCTAAAACAGAGCAGTATCAATGGAAATTTTTTGGTAACCATGTCTGACAGAATTCTTAAAGGAATAGTTCACCGTTTTTACATACTGACAAATGTTCTTACCTTACCTTAGGCTATATCCACACGAAGACAAAACGCTTATAATTTCAGAAACTTTTTCTGTAAACACGGAGTTAGCTCAGTAAATGTGTGCGTCCATATGAATGTAGTCAATACGCCTGAAAACGCTGTGAAACTATGCCAGACCTGTTGGTGGCGCTGTGACGCAATGACGGGATCAAGCCCAAACTTCCGTGACGGGAACTGGGCATGCGCAGAATTTAGTAAACAGACAACATGGCGAGTGGGCGAGCTGGTACTACATTAGTATGGACGGACGATGAGGTTGAACTGTTGCTTCGGGTCACACTGGATTACAAAACCAACAAGCTACATTGTTGTTGTCATTATTTTCTGAGTGCGGCGCATGCTGCTTTAACAAGAGGCGGGGCGATGACGCAAGCGTCTCAGATACATTGCGGAGAGGCAGTAACCACGGAGCGGCATATACGGAGTTTTGAAATCTTTCCACTCTGGGACCTACTTTCAAAAATGTTCGTTTACACCCCCCCAAAACGCCGGCCTCGTATGGACGATACACTGGATTGATAAAGTATTTTTGCGTTTAGGCCTGAGCTTGACTTCGTGTGGACAGGGCCTTAGACTAGTTAATACGTACCTGTCTGGTCTTAGTCCGTGCGCTCTGTCATGCAAACGGAGCAAAAACGGGAGCACAACCGCAGCCTCCTCTGTATATTTTGTAGCACCAAAAGGTAGCTCCCGCTAGAAGCTACCAAACTCTTCCAAGTGTTCCCTATTAAATGTATATAGTTACGTGACGTGTTACACTGCAAAGTATAGTAACACAGAAATGTAACAGTCGATTTTCTCAGCGGATAAAACGGGTACTATATTGTGAGGCGTAGTAATCTGAGGTGCGCTAGTCCGCGCACTAACTTCTCTCCGGAGACTTCTCTCTCGCTCACTTCCGTCAATAGAAGCAGCGTGACTTGTAATACACACAGTAGCTGCGAGAGAGAAGTCTCTGGAGAGAAGTTAGTGCGCGGACGTAGCGCTCCTAACTTCTCTGCGCACTAACTTCTCTCCGGAGACTTCTCTCTCGCTGCTACTGTGTGTATTACAAGTCACGCTGCTTCTATTGACGGAAGTGAGCGAGAGAGAAGTCTCCGGAGAGAAGTTAGTGCGCGGACGTAGCGCCCCTCAGATTACTACGCCTCACAATATAGTACCCGTTTTATCCGCTGAGAAAATCGACAGTTACATTTCTGTGTTACTATACTTAGCAGTGTAACACGTCACGTAACTATATACATTTAATAGGGAACACTTGGAAGAGTTTGGTAGCTTCTAGCGGGAGCTACCTTTTGGTGCTACAAAATATACAGAGGAGGCTGCGGTTGTGCTCCCGTTTTTGCTCCGTTTGCATGACAGAGCGCACGGACTAAGACCAGACAGGTACATATTAACTAGTCTAAGGTAAGGTAAGAACATATGTCAGTATGCAAAAACGGTGAACTATTCCTTTAAGTACAGGCAAGTCCAAACACAGGCCCGCGAGCCAATTGCGGCCCTCTGTGCCAGTTTAAGTGGCCCTCTGTCGCTAACACAAAGTTTCCATTGAGGCCCTTTGACTATATAGTTATATACTGACGTTTGTTTTATGATTGTGTCCCAACTTTCCACATATAATCCAGTCAATCCAGTTTTTTAAATCCAGGTTGTCAGCCTCAGGTCTGGTCTGATGAACTAAAGTGGCCGTCTTACTTGCCTCAGTACCATCTGGGTCTGGATGAAACCCTCCCTACAGTAGAGTGAAGCAGTGTCCGGCTGTAAGGGCTTTACATAATGTGTGTCATAAAATGTACATCAAGTACTGAACATAACCTTTGAAACATAATATGAATGTTTTCCACTTTCCGTCTTCAAACAGCATCACATTAGATAAGTCTTAACTGAAGTGCAGCACCACGGTCCCATATGGCTCATTTTCTGACTCAATGAGGCGCATTAATACCAATTTCCCCATTGTTCTTTAAAGATTCCATTTACACATCCGTTCAGATCACACATTCTCTTTACTCTTCCCTAATGAGAGCGTTCATTTTTAATGGAGGAAGTAGATTTTGTCTTACAGCTTTCACATGTTAACCGAATGTTGAATATGTTCTGAACTGGAGGCAAAGTTTAAACACATGACAGATTGTAGATATCATTCATTTTCCAGTGTTGCACCTCCACCACCTCCAAAAGTAACACGAGGTTGACTTTAAAATCTAGTTTTAAACAGGACTAATTTTAGCTGCTCTAAAACTCTATATCGTCCAAGTAGGTCATGAAGGATGTGGTGTCAGCGTAAACCATGTGATGAGCTAGGACAGGGGTCTGCAACCTGTGGATCAGGAGCTACCAGTAGCTCTCCGAAGGACTTAGATCTTACATAAATATTCCCACAACTTAAGTAAATGAAAACTAATGAATGTCGTAAACTCTAGATGACGACAGTAACAGTTCCAAGGCTCCAAGGTTTGATCTCACCATTCAATAAAACTCTGTCTCATCCTAGTCCTCTAGCTCTCCCTGAGTTAGTATATCCAGAACAGTTTTTATATTGTTCATCAGAGCAGCTTTTATGATCTTGCACTTTTACTGAAACCGTTTCCTGCACTTTTTAGTGTGTTTTATTTCCATACTTTTAACCTTGCTTTAGGTACTTGTCTTGTGCCCACAGGGACTTTAGGAAAGTTATTCCAATGTGGTTTTACTACAAAAGGCAAATAAATTCATCTGAATATGTTTAGTTCTTTGGTCCTTAACTCGGGTTCGGTCGTGCCTGGTTGGATACTGGTTGAAGTAAACATTTCTAATAATTGGGTCATTCAAACAATCGTTGGCAGTTCATAGTTTAGAGAAAGTTCTACAGGAAGTGAGACTAGGGGTCAATGCCACATCTCGGGAAAACTAGGCAAGATGATCAGCTAATTCTCAATTCTATCTTTGTTTAAGGAAAACACATAAAGTCATATAATTGTTCATGTATGTTCTCACTTCCAGGGGGGGGGGGGGGGGGGGGCTCAGTTGGTGGAGCAATAGCCTTGGAGCCAATGGAAGGTTATGGGTTCAATCCCACCTTCTCCATCATCTCCCACCGACGTCCCAGATTCAGAAACATATATTAAAATGAACGGACGATGCCTCATTACCCCTTCAGTGCCCCGGCCCCCGCGGTCCCACAGACACACGGCCCCCGCGGTCCCACAGACACACGGCCCCCCGCGGTCCCACAGACACACACGGCCCCCGCGGTCCTGCACAGACACACGGGCCCCACAGACACACACGGCCCCCGCGGTCCCACAGACACACAGGCCCCACGGCCCCACAGACACACGGCCCCCGCGGTCCCACAGACACACGGGCCCCACGGTCCCACAGACACACAGGCCCCACGGCCCCACAGACACATGGGCCCCACGGTCCCACAGACACACAGGCCCCACGGTCCCACAGACACACGGCCCCCCGCGGTCCCACAGACACACAGGCCCCACGGCCCCACAGACACACAGGCCCCACGGCCCCACAGACACACGGTCCCACAGACACACGGGCCCCACAGACACACACGGCCCCCGCGGTCCCACAGACACACAGACCCCACGGCCCCACAGACACACAGGCCCCACGGCCCCACAGACACACGGTCCCACAGACACACGGGCCCCACAGACACACACGGCCCCCGCGGTCCCACAGACACACGGGCCCCACGGTCCCACAGACACACAGGCCCCACGGCCCCACAGACACACACGGCCCCCGCGGTCCCACAGACACACGGGCCCCACGGTCCCACAGACACACAGGCCCCACGGTCCCACAAACACACGGCACCCGCGGTCCCACAGACACACAGGCCCCACGGCCCCACAGACACACGGCCCCCGCGGTCCCACAGACACACGGGCCCCACGGTCCCACAGACACACAGGCCCCACGGCCCCACAGACACACACGGCCCCCGCGGTCCCACAGACACACGGGCCCCACGGTCCCACAGACACACAGGCCCCGCGGTACCACAGACACACGGCCCCCACGGTCCCACAGACACACGGCCCCCACGGTCCCACAGACACACAGGCCCCGCGGTACCACAGACACACGGCCCCCGCGGTCCCACAGACACACAGGCCCCGCGGTACCACAGACACACGGCCCCCGCGGTCCCACAGACACACAGGCCCCGCGGTACCACAGACACACGGCCCCCACAGTCCCACAGACACACAGGCCCCACGGCCCCACAGACACACACGGGCCCCACGGTCCCACAGACACACAGGCCCCACGGCCCCACAGACACATGGGCCCCACGGTCCCACAGACACACAGGCCCCACGGTCCCACAGACACACGGCCCCCCGCGGTCCCACAGACACACAGGCCCCACGGCCCCACAGACACACAGGCCCCACGGCCCCACAGACACACGGTCCCACAGACACACGGGCCCCACAGACACACACGGCCCCCGCGGTCCCACAGACACACAGACCCCACGGCCCCACAGACACACAGGCCCCACGGCCCCACAGACACACGGTCCCACAGACACACGGGCCCCACAGACACACACGGCCCCCGCGGTCCCACAGACACACGGGCCCCACGGTCCCACAGACACACAGGCCCCACGGCCCCACAGACACACACGGCCCCCGCGGTCCCACAGACACACGGGCCCCACGGTCCCACAGACACACAGGCCCCACGGTCCCACAAACACACGGCACCCGCGGTCCCACAGACACACAGGCCCCACGGCCCCACAGACACACGGCCCCCGCGGTCCCACAGACACACGGGCCCCACGGTCCCACAGACACACAGGCCCCACGGCCCCACAGACACACACGGCCCCCGCGGTCCCACAGACACACGGGCCCCACGGTCCCACAGACACACAGGCCCCGCGGTACCACAGACACACGGCCCCCACGGTCCCACAGACACACGGCCCCCACGGTCCCACAGACACACAGGCCCCGCGGTACCACAGACACACGGCCCCCGCGGTCCCACAGACACACAGGCCCCGCGGTACCACAGACACACGGCCCCCGCGGTCCCACAGACACACAGGCCCCGCGGTACCACAGACACACGGCCCCCACAGTCCCACAGACACACGGCCCCCGCGGTCCCACAGACACACGGCCCCCGCGGTCCTGCACAGACACACGGGCCCCACGGACCCACAGACACACACGGCCCCCGCGGTCCCACAGACACACACGGCCCCCGCGGTCCCACAGACACACGGCCCCCACGGTCCCACAGACACACACGGCCCCCACGGTCCCACAGACACACACGGCCCCCGCGGTCCCACAGACACACGGCCCCCGCGGTCCTGCACAGACACACGGGCCCCACGGACCAACAGACACACACGGCCCCCGCGGTCCCACAGACACACGGCCCCCCGCGGTCCCACAGACACACACGGCCCCCGCGGTCCTGCACAGACACACGGGCCCCACAGACACACACGGCCCCCGCGGTCCCACAGACACACAGGCCCCACGGCCCCACAGACACACGGCCCCCGCGGTCCCACAGACACACGGGCCCCACGGTCCCACAGACACACAGGCCCCACGGCCCCACAGACACATGGGCCCCACGGTCCCACAGACACACAGGCCCCACGGTCCCACAGACACACGGCCCCCCGCGGTCCCACAGACACACACGGCCCCCGCGGTCCTGCACAGACACACGGGCCCCACAGACACACACGGCCCCCGCGGTCCCACAGACACACAGGCCCCACGGCCCCACAGACACACGGTCCCACAGACACACGGGCCCCACAGACACACACGGCCCCCGCGGTCCCACAGACACACGGGCCCCACGGTCCCACAGACACACAGGCCCCACGGCCCCACAGACACACACGGCCCCCGCGGTCCCACAGACACACGGGCCCCACGGTCCCACAGACACACAGGCCCCACGGTCCCACAAACACACGGCACCCGCGGTCCCACAGACACACGGCCCCCGCGGTCCCACAGACACACGGGCCCCACGGTCCCACAGACACACAGGCCCCACGGCCCCACAGACACACACGGCCCCGCGGTCCCACAGACACACGGCCCCCGCGGTCCCACAGACACACGGGCCCCACGGTCCCACAGACACACAGGCCCCACGGCCCCACAGACACACACGGCCCCGCGGTCCCACAGACACACGGGCCCCACGGTCCCACAGACACACAGGCCCCGCGGTACCACAGACACACGGCCCCCACGGTCCCACAGACACACGGCCCCCACGGTCCCACAGACACACAGGCCCCGCGGTACCACAGACACACGGCCCCCGCGGTCCCACAGACACACAGGCCCCGCGGTACCACAGACACACGGCCCCCGCGGTCCCACAGACACACAGGCCCCGCGGTACCACAGACACACGGCCCCCACAGTCCCACAGACACACGGCCCCCGCGGTCCCACAGACACACAGGCCCCGCGGTCCCACAGACACACGGCCCCCACGGTCCCACAGACACACGGCCCCCGCGGTCCCACAGACACACGGCCCCCACGGTCCCACAGACACACAGGCCCCGCGGTCCCACAGACACACAGGCCCCGCGGTCCCACAGACACACAGGCCCCGCGGTCCCACAGACACACAGGCCCCACAGACACACGGCCCCCGCGGTCCCACAGACACACAGGCCCCGCGGTCCCACAGACACACGGCCCCCACGGTCCCACAGACACACGGCCCCCGCGGTCCCACAGACACACGGCCCCCACGGTCCCACAGACACACAGGCCCCGCGGTCCCACAGACACACAGGCCCCGCGGTCCCACAGACACACGGGCCCCACGGTCCCACAGACACACAGGCCCCACGGTCCCACAGACACACAGGCCCCACGGCCCCACAGACACACGGCCCCCGCAGTCCCACAGACACACGGCCCCCGCGGTCCCACAGACACACAGGCCCCGCGGCCCCACAGACACACGGCCCCCACGGTCCCACAGACACACACGGCCCCCGCGGTCCCACAGACACACGGCCCCCACGGTCCCACAGACACACAGGCCCCGCGGTCCCACAGACACACAGGCCCCGCGGTCCCACAGACACACAGGCCCCACAGACACACGGCCCCCGCGGTCCCACAGACACACAGGCCCCGCGGTCCCACAGACACACGGCCCCCGCGGTCCCACAGACACACGGCCCCCACGGTCCCAAAGACACACGGCCCCCGCGGTCCCACAGACACACGGCCCCCGCGGTCCCACAGACACACACGGCCCCCGCGGTCCCACAGACACACACGGCCCCCACGGTCCCAAAGACACACAGGCCCCACGGTCATTACCAATGCTCTGCGTTCTCTCACCTCTTCACCAACGAGAGACACTCAAGCTCTTCCCACCACCTCCTCACGGACCACCTCCTCACAGACCACCTCCTCACAGACCACCTCCTCACAGACCACCTCCTCACAGACCACCTCCTCACAGACCACCTCCTCACAGACCACCTCCTCACAGACCACCTCCTCACAGACCACCTCCTCACAGACCACCTCCTCACAGACCACCTCCTCACAGACCACCTCCTCACAGACCACCTCCTCACAGACCACCTCCTCACAGACCACCTCCTCACAGACCACCTCCTCACAGACCACCTCCTCACAGACCACCTCCTCACAGACCACCTCCTCACAGACCACCTCCTCACAGACCCTCACAGACCCCTCCTCACAGACCACCTCCTCACAGACCACCTCCTCACAGACCACCTCCTCACAGACCACCTCCTCACAGACCACCTCCTCACCTCAGACCACCTCCTCACAGACCACCTCCTCACTCCACCACCTCCTCACAGACCACCTCCTCACAGACCACCTCCTCACAGACCACCTCCTCACGACCACCTCCTCACAGACCACCTCCTCACAGACCACCTCCTCACGACCACCTCCTCACAGACCACCCCTCACAGACCACCTCCTCACAGACCACCTCCTCACAGACCACCTCCTCACAGACCACCTCCTCACAGACCACCTCCTCACAGACCACCTCCTCACAGACCACCTCCTCACAGACCACCTCCTCACAGACCACCTCCTCACCCCCAGACCACCTCCTCACAGACCACCTCCTCACAGACCACCTCCTCACAGACCACCTCACCTCACAGACCACCTCCTCACAGACCACCTCCTCACAGACCACCTCCTCACAGACCACCTCCTCACAGACCACCTCCTCACAGACCACCTCCTCACAGACCACCTCCTCACGACCACCTCCTCACAGACCACCTCCTCACAGACCACCTCCTCACAGACCACCTCCTCACAGACCACCTCCTCACAGACCACCTCCTCTCACAGACCACCTCCTCACAGACCACCTCCTCCAGACCACCTCCTCACACCCACACCACCTCCTCACAGACCACCTCCTCACAGACCACCTCCTCACAGACCACCTCCTCACAGACCACCTCCTCACAGACCACCTCCTCACAGACCACCTCCTCACAGACCACCTCCTCACAGACCACCTCCTCACAGACCACCCTCCAGACCACCTCCTCTCACAGACCACCTCCTCACAGACCACCTCCTCCCTCACAGACCACCTCCTCACAGACCACCTCCTCACAGACCACCTCCTCACGGACCACCTCCTCACGACCACCTCCTCACAGACCACCTCCTCACAGACCACCTCCTCACAGACCACCTCCTCTCAGACCACCTCCTCACAGACCACCTCCTCACAGACCACCTCCTCTCAGACCACCTCCTCACAGAACCACCACCTCACAGACCACCTCCTCACAGACCACCTCCTCACAGACCACCTCCTCACAGACCACCTCCTCCTCCACCTCCCCAGACCACCTCCTCACAGACCACCTCCTCACAGACCACCTCCTCACAGACCACCTCCTCACAGACCACCTCCTCACAGACCACCTCCTCACACAGACCACCTCCTCACAGACACCACCTCCTCACGACCACCTCCTCCTCACAGACCACCTCCTCACAGACCACCTCCTCCCACCACCTCCTCACAGACCACCTCCTCACAGACCACCTCCTCACGACCACCTCCTCACAGACCACCTCCTCACACAGACCACCTCCTCACAGACCACCTCCTCACAGACCACCTCCTCACAGACCACCTCCTCACAGACCACCTCCTCACAGACCACCTCCTCACAGACCACCCTCACAGACCACCTCCTCAGGACCACCTCCTCACAGACCACCTCCTCACAGACCACCTCCTCACAGACCACCTCCTCACAGACCACCTCCTCACAGACCACCTCCTCACAGACCACCTCCTCACGGACCACCTCCTCACAGACCACCTCCTCACAGACCACCTCCTCACAGACCACCTCCTCACAGACCACCTCCTCACAGACCACCTCCTCCAGACCACCTCCTCACAGACCACCTCCTCACAGACCACCTCCTCACGGACCACCTCCTCACAGACCTTCTCTCAGACCACCTCCTCACAGACCTCCTCTCAGACCACCTCCTCACAGACCACCTCCTCACAGACCACCTCCTCACGGACCACCTCCTCTCAGACCACCTCCTCACAGACCACCTCCTCACAGACCACCTCCTCACAGACCACCTCCTCACAGACCACCTCCTCACAGACCACCTCCTCTCAGACCACCTCCTCACAGACCACCTCCTCACAGACCACCTCCTCACAGACCACCTCCTCGCAGACCACCTCCTCACAGACCTCCTCTCAGACCACCTCCTCACGGACCACCTCCTCACAGACCACCTCCTCACGGACCACCTCCTCACAGACCACCTCCTCACAGACCACCTCCTCTCAGACCACCTCCTCACAGACCACCTCCTCACAGACCACCTCCTCGCAGACCACCTCCCCTCAGACCTCCTCCTCACAGACCTCCTCACAGACCACCTCCTCACAGACCACCTCCTCACAGACCACCTCCTCACAGACCTCCTCTCAGACCACCTCCTCACAGACCACCTCCTCACAGACCACCTCCTCGCAGACCACCTCCTCTCAGACCTCCTCCTCACAGACCTCCTCACAGACCACCTCCTCACAGACCACCTCCTCACAGACCACCTCCTCACAGACCTCCTCTCAGACCACCTCCTCGCAGACCACCTCCTCACAGACCACCTCCCCTCAGACCACCTCCACGGACCCTCGGCACAATCAGCTGTCAGAGCCATTTTCTCTGCACTGTCTCTGTTTTTTTTGTTAACTTAAAACAACACAACTGGTCAGCGTTACACAATACCAACGAGCCAATGACGTGCTCGTTGGTCCAAGAGTCGGCTTCCATTCATTGGATCATTCTGTTTCCGGGTACAACACCACGGGCAAGAAGTCAGATCACACGCTCATGGACCTTTTTGAAGCAACAACAATATAGAAAACTTAAACATTAATAATGTAACCCCCACGGATTAGGGCTCTGTGGTTTTCCCATTCTGACTTCACCTCCGCTGTGTTCATCCGCCCTGAACTCCTCCTGATCTCCACCTTCTATATATAACCCTTCAGCAAACTTCACTCTGGTTAAATCAGCACTTTCTACAGACGCCATCTCTGCTTTTCTGCTGTTTAGTGCTGTCTAGAAATTATGTCTGCTATCCTTTTTTTGCATTTAGAGTTATTTTTTTGGGTGCACTTGTGTTGAAGTATCTTGTCTGCAAAGCCCCAGGCGTCTGGCCACCTGCTCCAGCCTAAAGTGCTTATACTTACAGTTGTGCAACGACAAAAGGAAAGGCTGTGAGAGGGAAAATGCGCAGAATATTGGACTGAAAAAAATCCTATTGTCAGCTCAAAGTGACCTTGAAACCAAACCATGCAATTTTCACCAACACTAAAAGTCAGAACTTTGAGTGTTCAAATGACAAGAGGAAAGAACTATCACGGTCAAAAGCTGCAGACAGTCGATTGTGTATGTATGTGCATGTATCCATTAGAATATCTGCCTCGGGCAATTTCCTGCCTCCGGTGTGTGCTGAATTCTCAACATGCTACAACAGGAATGAATGAATGAATGCCTTTATTAGTATTATGTATTTTTACTTTGTCTGGATAGATGTGTTTCTCCTGCAGGATCAATATTGTGGATTTTTCCCCAGACGAGACAGACAGTGTTGTTCTATGAGCTTTTATTATAAGAAGGTCTGACAGGTCCAAAGCAGCTCCTGCAGAGTCTGGTTGTCACAGTAAAGGATGTATACAGTATACGTCTTTAATGATGTAAACACAGACTTTGGAAGTCTGACTTTGCAGAACTTACATGTAGCTTCAATGCACAGATTACGTAGGCACAAGAAGGTATAACTATGAGCTAAACATGGCTTTGTCACAGACCAAACTCCAATGTGTACAAGATTGTATATGTGTATATTGTCATCAGGGCACACTGTCGCCTGCAAGGACCACCGAAGGGGCCCGCGAGGCATGATCTATAGTTTTTGTCCCGGAGCCGGTGGTCCCAGTCTTTTGTCTCTGGCCCTTCTCTCAGTGGGTGGCGTGTGCAGAACAGCAGAGACATGGGGTCTACGTGACAGTTGAAGGTCTAAGCTCTGTTTTGAGCTTAAAGTGTCCAAAAAGAATCAGAATTCACAGAGATACGACCCACTCAAGAGTCCGGTTTGAGAGTGAGGCAGACGCTTGATAAGGGCACGCGGGAAAATACGTGCGCAATGAGCAGCAATGCACCACGTTTTTACACACGTTTCAATCCATGTTTTAAAACAGCTACAAGAATTCAGTTCTTTCAAGTTTAATAAATAAAGTAATCTTCTATGAACCCGTTCAGACAATGGACTGAGCCAGGACCAAACCAAGGAGGCGTTTAACTTAACTTAACATTTTGTTTGTGTCCAAAAGTAAATTGCACATATACTTTTGGACGTGTGGAGTAAACAACGCATTTTACATTATTAAAACATTGGCAGAGTCTGGAAAAGCTGATCTAAAATGTCTTCAATTCAAGGGAATGTTAAGTATGTAATCTTTATTTATATAGCACATTTTACAGAGAAGCTCTTTAGAATGTTGAGAGTTCAGATATTTTCCATTCTCTACACTCGGTGATGACAGAAGCGAGACACGAACACATTGAAGCCTCCAACCAACACCATCCATTCACTCATTACATTCAGACCTATCATAAGTCTTTCAGTAGTAGGGGAAACCGGCACAGACACAGGGAGAACATGCAAACTCCATACAGAAAGACCTGGAAGTGGAATCGAACCCATGACCTTCTTGCTGAAAAAAACACAAGCTCTAAGTAAACACTTATAAATACTATGTGTCTTTTGACTGTTATATAAATAGACACAGAAAAGACCATAAAAGACCATAAAAGACCATACCATGTACAGGATGTTTTTGATAGAAACTGCAGCATTTGTGACTTATTCAACAAAGACAAACATGGCTGTGAAAGGCGGAGGAAGCTACGAATCTGGAACATTCTACCTGCAGCTTGATTTAGAATTGACTGTGATCAGTGTTTCCCGGAACTTCTGTCGCACCAGCAGATGGACTTTGAAACACTTTATTAAACGTACAATTTTAAAAGTTACAAAGCTTAAGAGCCTTAAGCTGTGTATTCCTGATCCTGTTGCCAAGTCCAAAAGGAAACTCCTGCGTTCCCTGAAGAGGCAGATTTAGACCGAAGGAAAGTTTGAAGGAAGGATGACGGGTATTTCACTTTTGTTCAGTGGTTTTTCCAAGCAGACTGGAGAAGGCCCGGACTACAGAGCAGACTCCGTCACGTCCGCGGAGTCGTGCAGGTGCAGTCGTATCGGCGCTGGCAGGAAGACGGATTACAGCAAAAGTGCCTCTAAAGACGTCTGCTTCTGCTTCGTCAGTGTGAGGTCAGCGCCAAAAAGGCACTGTTCGCACGAATGAGCCTTAAATTAAACGCAGAATTGTAAAGGCAAGGGCTCTTCGCATTCTTTTATGATACACTGTTATCTTTTGCATACTAGTAAGAAAGAGCTAGTAAGAAACACCCCTGTGTGTCACTTTGGGCTGAGAGCTTGATGACTGTGTGAGGCTGGTGCGGTTTTTGCCTTTCTAAAAAATCTGATCTAAACTTTTCCCCAAACGTTTGAGAGCGAGGAACTAGATATATGGATTTTATTACACTGTTGTATGTTTTGTGGCCTGAAATATAGGTACCCCAGCTTTAAGATGTCATTGTCCTTGATTCTGTCCGTGCCTTTTGATTTTGTCCATTTAGTTTGCTTTTGTCTCATCTTGTTTTGTGTCTTCTGAAGTAAAACATAGAAAAAGATTTGGAAAACAAAACAGTATTGCATCTGTGACAATGCAGGGTTTCAGTAGTACTTACGCTGACCGGGCAGTAGGGGGCGGTAGCTTGGCACAAAAGCCTCTGTCTCTGTACGTCTGTCGTTTGCTTTGCTTCCTGGATGTGCCGGTGTTGTTGCCCATTGTTGTCCCTGTCATTCTTTGGCTCCCGGGTAAATGTCATGCCAAAAATATTCTGTCATTATCCAATTAAGTAATAATTATTTATATAGCACATGTTACAGACCAAGGTACAGACCCAAAGCACTTTCCAATGTTCAGAGTCAGATATTGTTCCAATCCTTCCACACACGGTGATGACAGAAGCGAGTCCAGAACACACTGGACCATCAGCTCCAACACCATCATTCACTCTCTCATTTACATTCAGACCTATTGTGCATGTTTTTAGTGGTAGGGGAAACCGGAGCACCCGGAGGAAACCTACGCAGTCACGGGGAGAACATGCAAACTTAACTCAGAAATGCCCTGTTCCGACCGGGATTCGAACCCAGGACCTTCTTGCTGAGAAGCGAGAGTGCTAACCACTCAGCCACCGTGCCACCCAAGGTCTAAGTGTGTATGGTGTATGCAGCCGCGGTGTGGCTGTGCCCCACGATGGAGCTCCAGGCCTGCAGCTGTCTCCAGTCTGGCTGCCTCCCGGGAACAGTGTGGACCAGCCGTCACTGCCCCTCACAGAGCGCCGCTGCCCCGTGTCGGTCGCCCGGATGAAGGCGGGTTACGAGCACGGTGGAGCGCGGCAGCCTCGTCTAATTTCACTCTATGGACTAGTGACTTTCTACGCTTTGACTGACGGATCTTTAACGTTCAACAATGTGTCAAGTTATGAAGATGTATGGAAAATACATATCCTATCTATTATGCTAAAAAGATAACAGAGATAAAAATAAATGTGTTGCACGACATGACGTCCGGCCTCTGACCTGTGTTCCTTATTGAATGTGTTTGGTTTGAAATGTAACCCTAACCCTAACCCTAACTAAGAACATGACAGACCCTCCTACGCATCATTCACACCTGCACGATGGAACTGAGATACCAATGAAACTACTTTGATGTTTTCAAAGTCCGTCAAATGCTTGTCTCATATTGACCAGTTATGACTTAATCTGGGCTGTTTCAGGGTCTGGCATCAAAACAGATCTATAAAAGCAAGTGCAGTAAATCTATAGCTGGTATTTGGAATGGACAGAGCAAACCAGAGCTCGCTGAAGCCTAATTAAGTGTTCATGGGTCACAACTTTCTCCTACTGCAGGACTGTCAAAATCTCAGACCATTTTAAAGTGGCCCCTGAAATGATTTTCCATGATCTTGATCGCAGTAATACTTCATTTTAAAGCCTATTGTCTCAAGAAAACAACCATATGATTTAAACATAATAAAACATTATCATTTTGTTCTACAATATGAACTAACAAGTTAAATGTAAAAACATAAATATTTAACTTAACTACAGGCCTTCATATATATCTCTTCTTTATTTGTGTCCCAGTGGTGTTGGAATCTCTTGTCCGATAAAGGCAATTTATTAAAAAGACAAAAATATGTAACAAACTTCGGCCCCAACCAGCTCTTATTCTTTTCAATTTGCCCCCAACCAAAATGAGTTTGACCCCCCTGTCCAAATGCCTCTGCCTCCATTCACTTGCTCAATCTGGATTGGCTTCTCGGTTGCTATGAGGTTTCTATGTGATTATTTAGGTTCAGGAGATTCTTGGGGTTCACTTCTTTCTGCGAGTTTATAAATTTGCCTAAACTACAATCATAAAAAAAGGCTCAAAATGTGCAATAATCTGCCTTTTCTAAACACATTATCTTAGTGTCCTGTTGAGTTTTTAAACCTAAATTCTGAACTTTCCATTTTTCACACACTATTTAAAGAGTCCTAAGAATGTCATATTAAGTTCATTTACCAAACAATGAGACTATTTCCATCCAGTGAGACCGGCTCTAACCCTGAACACGCTTGCTTGTATGCAGTCCCTTGTGTACACCATTATAACTGCTTACTGGGCATTGTGTCAGTGCATATGGGTAAATTGCTGACCTCTGAAACATGGAAGCACATTCTAATGTACGAGCTCTGCAAATAACAAACCGTTTGTAGAGTTGGGTCAAGGTTAGCGCCCGAGGCTGGGAGTTGTTCCTTTACAAGACGCCTTATTATCTGAGCATCTCGTTTTTCTTTTCTCTGCTCGAGCAATTGCGGTGACCTCGGCAGCTCGCCAAGGCAGTCTGTAATTGGAACAAATATTTTCCTGATGAGATGGTTAACGTGTTTTCAGGATTACTAGTGCAACAAGACTTCATCAGTTGGATAAAACTAACCGGTCTCGTCACGGTCCGAACCCGGCTCATGTTCCCTGTTAGCGGGTGAACAATCCAACGCTTGCTGAATTCTGCTTCAGTTGTGGCTAATTGGACTTGAATTCAAGTTAATAGATTCAAGATTCAGGAATTTATTTGCCATTTGCAGTAAAACCACATCGGGAAAGACTACCCCAGAGTGCACCGGAGAGAGAAGACGGCACACACCAGAGCTCTTGCCACGTGAGATGGAGGTGTTTTTAGTGTAGACCTAGTTCATCAGTCTAGGTTGTCTTGGAATGTACAAATGTGTCCAAAAGTGGTACTGCAGCCTCTCCCACTCTCCCTGACTCAGGTTGCCAGATATGCAGACGAATCCAGCTGGGACCATAACAGCTGAATAGACAAGAGTTTTGTCAACAACAAATCTATAACCAACACCTTTTTCACAAAGATAGAAATCCTGGTTTTATTCCTTGTTTTGTCGTTAATGATTTGAGAATCATAACGAGACCTTTTTTAGTTCTGCGCCACATGGTACTTTACCAGTGAGATTAGCTCCACGCGGTGAGTTCTGGCGCCCGGATCACAGACTTTCTGATTGGTGAAACGGTGGAGGGCGGGACATCGAAATGAAAACAATGACAAGATTTAGAGGCTGGAAAAGTAATTTAGAAATCTCTGAACTACTGTTATCAGTTAACGAAGTATTGGAAAAGAACAGATTTATTAATGCCTTCTGACAGATTAGGGCCCTTTAATGATGACAGATTAGGGCTCTTTAATGATGACAGATTAGGGCCCTTTAATGATGACAGATTAGGGCCTTTAATGAGGACAGATTAGGGCCCTTTAATGAGGACAGATTAGGGCCCTTTAATGATGACAGATTAGGGCCCTTTAATGATGACTTGACATAAAAATCTTACATATTGCTACTTTAAGTTGGTCAGAGAAACATCCAAACTCAGAAAGGCCCTGTCCCGACTGCGAACCCAGGATGTTCTTGCGGAGAAGAGAGTGAGCTATTCACTCAGCCACAAGATGAACGTTGGCAATGTAATAATTTAAATTAAATTTTTTATTCATATTTTTCACAGACCAAGGTCACAAAAAGCGCTTCACAATGTATTCTTACATTCATTCCCATTGTACATGATCTTAGTAAGAAACCAAAGCACCCAGAAGAAACCTACGGCGTTGCAGTGAGAACATGGAAACTCCACATAGAAAGGCCTGGAGGGGGAATCAAACCCAGGACCTTCTTGCAGTGACGCACAACCACTAACCACGCCAACCGGTGTAAATGCAGAGATATTGTTGCAGTTCCTTATATAGCTCAGCAAACGTGTTCGCCATGACACAACTCCCTCCTCTGCCGCTCGGCCGAGCCTATTGGCAAGTTGTTTTTAGCCAAACATTTCCATCACACGTTTGCTAATCTGCCCCTCCCTTGTCTCGCCGCTCTGTCTCCAACTTAGCACATTCTCCATCGCAGACAAACAGGTTATTAGTGCGCTCTCTGGCCCGGGCGCAGACGGTATCAAGTGCTCGGGCGGCTTGTTTTCGCGTCCCACTCGTGACATTGCGGTGACGGACGTGTTTGGCGAGGGCATCCGGTTGGCGCGTCATTAGCGTCATGTTGATTATTCACTGCGAGCCTTGTCTGCCCACTTCCACACATCGCCATCCATGATTAATGAGTCATCGAGTGCGGCGGAGGTGGGCGTAGAGCTGCCGCGGACCAGACTGAACTCTAGGCATCCTGACCAATTACCAACTTACACGGCCGCGCTTGTTAAGGGTGACTTGGCGCTCTCCCTCCGAGCAAAGCGCCAAATTAATAGCATCAACTGTAGTCAGAGCATGCACTGGTCTATCCATCACGCTTTCTTGACCGGGGATTACTCTGGCTGCAAGCCTAATGGTGCCTCTGTCTACTCTCCACATGGCAAAGCTGGAAATTACGAACAGGCTTGTGTTAATGTTGAATAATGAAACTTAACCTTATCGGCGTCAGCGTTTTTTGATGAAATGTTTTGCCAAATGGACAAGACATGTTTGAAAAAGGTTCATTTTGTCTTCAGTTCAAATTCTTTCAGTGGTATCCCAGATTTAATATTCACTGTTGTGCCTCCAAAACAAGAGGCCGGTACTTTTCAAATTGACAAAGAGGACATCAGAAAGGTGAAGATGAGGGAGGATGGAAGTGGCTCAGCGAGAGGAAAATGCCTCATGTGCACACTGGGTATTATCGTTTAAATAGTAATTCATCTTTATTTTGTATACAGCACATTTTATAGAGCAAGGTCACTGAATCTAAGTAAGTACTAATATGAGTCACAGCAACTGTTGTGGGCATTTGTCCTCTGGGAGCGAGGTCGCCTACAGGAGACGCACATGTTTTTAGTGGTAGGGGAAACTGGAGCACCAGGAGGAAACCTACACAGACACAGTGAGAACAAGCAAACTCCACTCAGAAAGGCCTAAGCGTGGACTTGGACCCAGTGTAAATGTATCGAGATATTATTGCAGTTATTTTTGTAAGTATAATACTTCAGGGACCCCTCTTTATGATCCCTTAATTAAACGTATCAATGGTTTGTATATTTCTTCTTCTCTGCTGTGAGTGCATGGTTTGGTTTGTGTCACTTCTCGTAGATTATAGTTTTCAGTGTTGGTTTAGTTCTCACTGAAAAGATCATAATTTCATAATAGTCAGTTTTGCTCAGTGGCATGGACACTAAGCCAGGCATGTCCAAACTATGGCCCACGTGCCCATTGTGGCCCTTTGTGTTATCGTATGTGGCCTTGCAAACACACAGGAGTCTTTAAATACAAGTCCACAGTGTCATCCAGCCATCTTCAGCTCAGTCAAAACAGGCAACGTATACCTCAGAACATCTGGAATTTAGCCGTTGACTTTCGTAGTGTTTTGATACTATCTCAAAATTCAGCTAATGCTAATGTAGCGGAGTGAGTCGTTCAAATCCAGTCCAAACCGCTTCACGGTCCAGGTTGTCGGCCCCTTGACAAGACCGGTGATCGATAATGTGCTTCTTTTCGAAAAGTTTGGACACCCCTGCTTTCAGCCAACCTCTCTCTTATTGCTACTTTGCCAAATGGCCTGCTGTGCGGGAAATGACCAACGCCACGCTAACCCTAACCCGTGAGCAGCTAAAGCGTTGGCATTTGCACAAACACGAAACACCCATGACGACAAATGACTTTTTCTGACTCAAACGTGACCCCGACAGTGGCACGGCTCTGTAAACAAACCGTTATCAATCCATGTTTAATTACATCATGTGGCAGAAGCTAGCGCCGCCGTGTCCACATGTTTACCTCCCACTAATTGAAAAGTCAAGGCTGGTTATTAGTCATGCATGTTGATGTTGACAGGAGAGATCACAGAACCTAATGACTCTGGAAAAACTGACATTTTTATTTATTATAGACAGCTATGAATTATTTGTGAGGCAAAAAGACAAGGTATAGTCGCATTTTGGAACACTCTGTTTAGCTCCGGTGGTGGAAAAAGTGTTGGGTGAATGTGATGCAATACTTAGAGCTGGGGTACCTCACTTTCAAACAATAGAACTACTGTAAGTGTTAATCTGGAGTTTCTTGTCATTAATCGCTTTGAGTTGCCTTGTTTAGGAACAGAGATACACACAAAAGTCTAATAAAGAGCTCTCAACACAAAAATGTAAATGTCTAAACACGTCTCGACCGTTTTTAGACAAATGTCAACTCTCAGGGCTTTTTCTTACTCACAGCTGAACGCCCCGTAGAGACCCTGTGGTCCTGTCCCTGTGGTCCTGTCCCTGTGGTCCTGTCCCTGTGGTCCCGTCACTGAGACGCTAGTTTGCAAATATTTAGTGTGAGTTCAGTAGTGATGTGCTGAGCGGACTGAGTCTTCGAAGCGTGGACCGAGTAATCTGGGGGCGTTTCTTGTGAAGTGTGGGTTGAGGCGTGTGTTGGTGACGTTCGAAGCCTCGCGTAGCGGCCGCACCACGTGACGGTTCATATAGTGCTTCATATAGTTCGGAGAGTGCATTGCTTTGACAGGTGCTTTGTGATCCGCGGCTGTACCATAGACTGTATTGGCTGTCCCCGTCTGCCTCTGTGTGCGTACGTGTGTGTGCGTGTACGTGTGTGTGCGTACGTGTGTGTGTGCGTACGTGTGTGTGTGTGCGTACGTGTGTGTGCGTGCGTACGTGTGTGTGCGTACGTGTGTGTGTGTGCGTACGTGTGTGTGCGTGATGTGGAGCAGTCCTGTACTAAGTATAGAGAAACTACTTCATATGAAATACAATTAAAAACGTTTCACTTCAGTAAAACCTCATTTATCAAGGCTTCAAGTTATTAGTAATAATACGCTGGATAGTACATTTCATAACAACTGTGTGGCGCAGTCGGTCTATGACGGACTCCGAAGCAGAAGATGTAGTGTTCGAATCCCGGTCTACCCATAATAAATGTTGTGTTGCAAAGTAAATGTATTTATTTATTGGGAATAAATGGTTTGTTGTGTTTAATTAATCCACCTCTTGGTAGTTTTTCCTCCATTAATCACTTTCTGTAGAACTGTATTACTTTGGATGTGTTTGTTGTATCAACACAATTAACTGAAAGACTCAAATAGTTCATAGTTCATAAAGCATCATTTCAAACACAACACGTTAGACCATAGATTGTAAATATACATTTTAACATTAGATCTCACCATTCATTGTAAGCACTTAAGAGTGTTATGTATTTCTTTGTCCACATGATGGCGTAGTGGAGCATGATTCACCTCGAGCCTTCGACTCATGGGCCGAGTAATAGGCTGCGATCCCTCAAGGCTTCATGGGGCTTCATATTGCCATCACTAGAGTTCAGACACATGTGTTTCCCGGGCTGATAATGAGTCCAAGCACTTTACTCTCACATCCAACACCTGCTGCTCTTGTTACCTGCAGGTGTGTAACATTCTCCAGCACCAGTGCCCCCTAGAGGCTGGAGGTACTTACTGACCGCTGAACAAACAAAGAGATATGATCCATTTAAAAATAGCATGTTGTGGTCCGATTTATCCACATTTTACTTTAAATAATCTTTTTGTTGGTACAAAAAAACGGAGAAAATAATATTATATGTGTCTTGGTACCGAGCCTTAGCTGGTGGTAATTTAGAGTAACTTCTAAATGAGAGTAGTGGTTGCAACAACGCCACCCTATTTTTAGTTATAGGGAACTTTTCCTCAAGGCACACAGGTAAGTAATAGGACAGGCCAAGGTTCCATTTAAAGTACATTCAGTTTATTTTTAGACATTGGTAAAACAAAATTAAGAACTTGCAATGGGGATGGTAAAACAGGGGGGGGGGAGCAAAGCAGCAGAGGAGACGTGTCCCAACGCTGCAGACCGCCGCTGACACCTGGTAAATAATAATAATAATAATTAATCTGCTATTAAATGTGGTAGGTGTGACTGAAGCGCGCACCTACCGCTGTGATAGACTGGAGAGCGCACAACCCCTGGCGTGTCACAGAAAGTTATGTACTGTACAAGCAAATGCAACAGGGGGGCGGGGCAGGGCACGGGCTGGCCCAAGCCGCGGACACCAGCTGCCAATCCTGCAGCAGCACTATGAGCAGACAGCGGGATTTAAAGGCTGTCTTAATCAATAAATAAATTAAATTATACCTGTTGCCCCAATTGAACGGACATAGTGATGCCCAACAATGCCCAGCACAGACAAGGCCAATTACCATCGGGGGACCATGAGAGCAGTAGTTAGATTTTTGTGAATGAATGAATGGGGAGAGGAGTATTACCAGTCACAGCAGATGAGGCAGCATGCCCCGGGCGCGACACACAAAATCAAGCCGTGCAAACGGGCGGTGTGAGGCTGCAGTCATACAGCAGCGCTAAAAGGACAATATTGTAAGAAATGGGGAGATTTATGCAATTTGGAGCCACGCATTTGGGACTTTACCTACTGTAGGACTGGAGAGGAGCAGAGTCACACGGCCCAGTGGGAAGTGCGGGCAAACGGAGTGACATGGGATGGGAGCGCTTAAATAGTCCACCAGCTCAGCGCCACAAGGCGGCGAGTAACAATGCCCTCAGCATAGACCACCAGACCTGGTCTTGCCACATATGTTTATATATATGTATGGTTATATTAGGGCAAACATATTCTAGGATCACGGAGTTATTGCTGTGCTACATAAGAGTTCTCTTTGTATAGATTAATACAAAGGAGAAATGTGGGGAAATGTCAGTGTTGCATCATCAGTTACAGAACAGTGGGAATGAGGAGCACACAGATAAATGAACAATAACTCTGTTCTAAATTATCATAAAATCTCTATCTTTAAAATAATAAATAAGCAAGTATTACATCTCTAGCTTTAGCATAAAGAAGAGTAAGTCTAAAAACAGTTGGATCCATGTGAGAAGATCATGAGCACATTACAATACAGCACATATTTGAACGCATCCTTTGCTTTGTATGAACCAATCTGTGAAATTTGAAGCAGGATGTTTGGTTTGCGGCCGCTGTTGTGTTCGCCTCATTAGCTGGAGCCGTGAGGACGAGCTAATTAGCGTAAGCAGAGCAGAGTTCAGTGTTTGAAGTCGAGA